AATTAATTTTATGTTAAAATAAAGTTTAAAGATTAATTTGATTGATTGAACATAATTAATTTTTCATATATGAGTTGCCAATACCACTAGAGCCAATTAATTTAGCATTTTGAGTATTTAAAACAGATTTATGACAATTTTGTGTTTAGTGCATCGATACACTTAACAGTGCACCGATGCATCCCTTTGAATATGCATCGATACATCAGCTGATGCACCAATGCACGCCCTTGAATGTGCATCGATGCACAAGAGCCATGCATCGATGCATCCGTCAGGTTTTGGGTTAAAATGCCTCATTTTCTTCATTTTTCTCAAACCCTAAAACTAAAAACTCTCCCACCATTCTTCCCTCTCTCACTCTAAATCCTACTCTTGCTCAAAATCATCAGAAAAATCATCGGTTTCTTCGTGCTTTTCATCTTCAAAACCTGCTTATATCATTAAATCGTGCAAAACAACTCCCCATCCCTCTCAATCCGAATTTTCAAGGTAATATTTCAAAAACCTCTATTTTATTGATTTTTGATTTTAGAACTAGTTTTGATTAGTTCTAGGATGAACATTATATCGGACATTGATTGTTTGTTGGTTCTAAACTAGATTTTACTACCAATTTCGTCAAAAACAAACAATTTTTCAAGATTTTTCTTTGAATTTCGAACTTAAAAAAAATTATGATTTCAAAAATTAGTAATATTTTTGATTTAATTGTGCTGTTTTCATGAAAACTATATTATGATTATCAAATATTATTAAATAGTTTCAAAACATGCCCATTAGGATATGGTTTAGAGAACCTTGAATTATTGAGAACTCATTTGAGTTTTGGGATTGATTGTGCATACATGTGTTTCAAATTGCAGGTGATATTCCTTATTCCGATTTCCTTCAATCATGTCAAACCCTAAACGACCTAGGTCATCTTCGAGTCGGTCAAACCAAAATCGTCCTCTCGTTCCTCAACCTCCTAATCTCGTTCCTCCTCCACTTTCATCTCTATTAGGATCTTGTTTTAACATGCCTGAGCGTCGTAGAGACGAATTGTACTCTAGGTACAGAAACTCTTTCCAAACTTATAGAATCCGTGAAGAGCGTATTCATTCGTTTCAAGCCATGGTTGACATTGATTTCGAATACCTTCCGATTCTTAAAGCTTGGAAGTTTGATAAATTGTTTAAGCTTAAACCTATCGTCTATCAACAATTGGTCCGCATTTTCTATTCCAATGCGGTGTGTATTCAAAATGAAACTCAATGTGAAACTATAGCCATTAGATCCTATCTTTTAGGCCAATATATTAATATTGACCCCGAGACTATAGCTTTCCGATTTGGGTTAGATGATAGTGGTGTATATAATGAGAGTGAAAATGTGGAATATCCCTATGTTCCAAACTCAAGTGTTAGTACTCTACGATCTCATCACGATTGTTTTCTCCATTTGATGATCTCTTGGTGGTTTAGACCATCCGGAGGTAGGTACTCCACACTTCGTGCTGGGGATTTATGGTGGATGTGTTGTATTAAAAATAAAATCAAAATAAATCTGCCCCACATTATATTCAGTCAACTAGTGGACATTATAAACATTGTTCCTTCAAAACATGTTGAAACATTGATTTATGGATGTCTTCTTAGTAACCTCTTTATCAAACTTGGTCTAGACGTCTCTCTCGACAATCCTATCCCACTCCAAAATCAAATCAATCTTACATCCTTGAAGAAAGCGAATTGGAAACAAGACGAGGTAACCGATCAATGGGTTTTTAGACCCGGAAAGCAAACTCCGGGAGCTAGTTCCTTACGAGCTGCTCCTAGCTCCTCTCGTGCTCCTCCTCCTCCTCCAGCTCCAGCTTCTGACGATGATCCTAAATTTCAACAACTTATGCAAGACATCGATGATCACGTACCGGATGACGAGCCTGCATCGGAAACAACTCCACAAGAAGATCAAATGCCTCTATATTTTCATTCGTTTTTGGAGACATTTGATTTACGGTATGCGTCCATGGATTCGCGCTTCACATTCATTGAGTCCCAGCTCTCTACCTTAGGAGCTCGACAACAAGATATGAATGATCGTTTGGATGCACTTACGCTTGAGATGAGAGCTCGTTACCCTCTTCCTCCTCCCGATCATTCGATGGATGAATAGACTTATCTTACTTTGATTGTTTTTGGGTTTGAACTTGAATTTAAATTGTTAAAACATTTTGGATTGTCTTTCTTTGATTGTTGGATGTTTGTTTGATGGATATTTGAACTTTTATTTCATATATATTTTGGTTTGTTTCAATATATGCATCATTTATTTTAGTTGAAATATGACCAATTTACCATTTCACATTTTATTATGAATATTGATTATGAACACTAATGGCTAACCTCTCTTTTGATCTTTGATCTTAGCAGCTTAAGCTATATTCAATTACAACATTTAATCAATTGGCTATGTTTTTCAAAGCATTCAGTTTTTGAGTCTTTTTTATTTAACAAAAAATGGGAGAAGTGTTAAGTGTTAAAAGTTTTAAAGGTGAGAAGTGTTATAGTAAGGGGGAGTAATTTGGAGTAATTTCAAAATTGATTTCAAAACTTATTTTCAAAGAAAATCTTAAAATTACTCAAGATTTTTGTTATATCAAAAAGAGGGAGATTGTTGAAAACATTTTGATGTTTCGATATAACAAATTAAGTTAAATGAATTTTAAGATTTTACAAATGATTTTCTAAAAGTATATTCGATTTAATTACTCGAATATCAAGCTATTACTCCAAGTCTTTCAAGATCAATTTTAAACCTTACTAAATGTGTAAATTTGTGTTTTATACTTAAACTATTTTTAAACAAATTTTCACAAAGTATTTTGAACCAAAATTAAGCCTAAAATCAAATTTTCAAAATGATGCACCGATGCACCAATCCATGCATCAATGTACCATGAATTAAATTGAACATTGAATGCATTTCATGCATCGATGCACTTACCATGCACCGATGCACTGAGGATTTTATGAAAACATCGAATGCATTTGATGCACAGCCATGCATCGATGCACTCTGGCTATTTTGAAACATCGAATGCACTTGATGCATCGATGCACTCTTAGTGCACCGATGCACTAAGGGTCCAACGGTCAAAATATTTGAATTTTACACCGATGCACCGATGCACCGATGCACCATGGGTATGCATCGATGCACTAACGCTCCCAACTGCTTTAATTAATTGTTTTCACACTTAAACGACTCTATTGACTCCAATAATCATCCCCAACGTTCAGAAGTTATTCAAGGTGTATTTAAACAAGATTAGAAGCCATTGATCAATAACAAGAAACAACAAGCAACTAGAATCAAGAGAGAATCAAAGAGAAAGCATCAAACCTCAAGTTTGTGCATTTCAAGCTTATTTTTCATTCAATATTCATTTTGCTTTCAAGAACACTATTTGTACTCAATTGAATTCACTCTTGAGTGTTCTTTTCTTTGTTCTAGAATTGTGCAAACAATCTACCTTGTGAGGATTTCCTTGTAAATTTGCAAATTTGTAATATTCTCTTTGGGAAAAAGTGTTCTCAAGAATTGAGGTATATTCTTGAGGGTGTTGTAAGGTTATCTCTTTGGCCTCAAAAGAAAGAACAAATTAGTGAATTTGTTGGAAAATCCTTAGTGTGGATAGCTAAGGTAGTGGACGTAGACTTTGGTTGATAAAGTTGAACCACTATAAATCGATGTGCAATTACTTTCAATTTTCTGCAAAAGTTTCCACCAAAATTTTTATTGCCAATTCACCCCCTCTTGGCCGATTCCATCGATCGATTAACTCAACATAAATCGTGCTTGTGAGTTCAGACATATTAAATATTTTTTTTATTTAATTTTAAATATAATTCCATATATATATATAACCATTAATAAACAAATACAAAATAAATAACTTTAATTTAAAAATATTAAAATCTTAAATTAATTATAAATAATATATTATATTTTGTTAGCAGTTTAAGTGTTATCATATTTTCAATTGGCCTATATTTAAGTCCTCATTTATCTATTTTTATTTCTATCATTAACTATAATATATAATATATAAAAAATACTTTTAATTGATTCCTAAATATTTAGCCTATTAGTTAAGGCTTTGCTTGGTTACTAACTGATCTTGGATTCAAATGCAATTAAGTTATTTTAGTGCCTAAACCTGAATAAGTTATATAACATATGTATTATCTTGATAACAAGTGTGAGAATTGTCTCAGCGATTAATTCTAAAATCTAGGGGATTTAATCTAAAATTTCATACATGATTAGAATAAAAGATTTTAAAGTTAATGTTTAAATTAAGGCATTAGACAAATTAAAAACATAATCATAATCAAATCGCATTAAATGAAAATCCAAGGAAACAAATCATATGTAAGTAGTAACCAAAATGGAAGAAAACAAAGCTGGATGCCAACGTAACTTTACAACACCTCACACCCTAATTATACCAATTTTATTAACTAGACATGTTAGGTGACTATTAAAATCATTTAAATAGTTCATAATCATATTGACTCAAATTTAAAAATGGCGGTCATTTGGAGACAACCCGAATTTCAAAATGACAGTCATTTAGAGACAAAACCTATAATTGGGTGATCATTTATGTAAACCTATAATTGGGTGATCATTTATGTAATTTACCCGAATGTTATAATTAATTTACACTTAAATGAATATGCATAAATGTATATGTTTTTAAATCCGTACGTCCAAATATGGAAAATGTAGCAAATATATATATATATATATATATATATATATCCAAGTATATAAATTAAATATGAATATAAATGTTAAATTAGTCCAAATATGGAACTACTTAAAAGGTACCAAGGGAACCTGCACCGAATCCAATATTACATCAAATTAACAGACTTAAAAATCATGCAAAATTTTATATTAAGAAAAACAAAATCGCCTCATTATTTGCGATTCCAATAGTAATTGTGTACCATTTATGAGATTTACCCTATTATTGTCCAAGAATATTATCTAAAATACAATTGGCTGATAACAAACGAAAAGAGAAGGTAAAGGAGGAACTTTCTGATTGTTGAGTTGATTTATGGCTTCTTCTACCTACCGAAACCATATTCTCACTTGTACGGGGTTTACACGGTTGCAATTTCAGTATCTCCATTCTCACATTGAGATGACGAAACTGTAATGTCCGAGGCAGCATCGTCCACGGTCAAGCTCGCCATCTCACCACACAGCGATAACCTTTCATCTTCACCGCTGCTGATGGATGGTGCTGGACATGCATCTGATGTGTAAGTAATACTCCCGTTGCCATTTGAAGGGGATAGAGCTGCATCGCCCTAGTCCGCCGCTTGTTGAAGGCACCAGTACATCATGCTGGCTGTTAATGTGAGGACCATTTTCTGGTTTACCTGCGGATTCCGTAACAGCATTGAGTTGTGAACCCCATATATTCATCCATTTGCAATGCCTGCTTATGTTAGTGTGCTGACAATATTGTACATTCAACTCGGTTACTTCGAATTTCTCAATAGTTCGATACAATTCAGTAGAAAATGACCTAGTAGAGTTGCACCCTTACCTCCATGATATCCTCAGGCAACAAGAAAATCGAGCACCCAAGCTTTCGTGCCACGCTTATGATATATGTTGCGTTCAACCTCTTCTCCCCATCTATAATCCATCAGGGATAAAATACAGCAAGTTGAGCTTAATATCGACACTTTTTATCAGACCAAGGTACGCGAACTTCGCCGGTTCATTCCAAATATAAAAAAAATGTCCTCAAAATATCATCGGTATGAAAATAACTGTACCGCTTTCACCCTTGGTTACAAGGTTCCAGTTGACCACTCTTGGCTCCACCGCACTTAAAAGTTCGAGGAAGAACAGTCCATTGGAAAGGCTTTTGTCCTGCAAATTTAGAATAACCATCAGCCCTAACTCTTAAACTATGATGGTTTTTTTTAACCCCATTCTAAACTTAAACTATGAAAAACGCTGATAATTGTAAAACCTTGAAGCTTTCTATCTGAGTAGTTCTTCCTGAAATTTTGACTTTCAGGTTTGCCCAGTTCAAGATATCTGCATCAGTTATCTCCTTTCCTCGGGAGTGGGATCTCAGACTCTTGAGAAGTTGAAGTATGTTGAACCTCATTAATTGCCACAGGAAAGCTGTTACACATGTAATCCATGAGCATTTGGAAAAACATCAAAACGTTGAGCAACCAAACACATTTTTAAAGAAAAAACAAAAAGAAAGCTGCGAATAATTCCCCGCAGCATGAAGCAACAAACGGCAACTTTATATGAAAATCCAAGGCCAGACATGGAAAAGACACAAAAATACACCCGAAAGATCAAAAGCAATTTGCCGATCTTTCCATACAGGCCGAGGTAGTCAATTTACCAGGATGTAGGTTCTCTTTTATAGTAATAATAATAATATATGTAAACAGGGTTTTCCTTCTTAACGGAGGGAAACCATGTAAAGCTCCGAAGGGAATCATATTAAAATCAAGGGAAAAACATAGACATTACCGACTATGAGCTTTTTATTTCCTTGTACTATATCATTTCCGCCAACATTCACGACGGAAAATTTCAACTGTTTCCCGATCTTCACTACTTGATTGCAATTTTCTACTTTCCTAAATGGAAACTTAATTGGAGGTTTTGATGCATGCTTCCAGTTCACTGATCCAGGAGCAACTTTATCAAGCACTTCTAAAAGTATCCAACTGCATCAAAAATCAAGCTTTTTATGTTGATAGTCGAAATATTGAATTGCAAACCTTCAATGCATCCCTCAAATATCATCATAAATCTATATGACATAAACAAGCTGAATGTGAAATCATTGTAACCTTCTTGGACATAAAAATGTATGCATGTTTTCACCATAACGAAAAGGACAAGCAGGCAAATTGATGCTTTCATCGGTTCATCATTCTCAGAAGGATTTTTTTGAGAAAAAAAAGGACATTAACCTAACCTTTTGTAATGCTAGCTTAATATCTACAGTAGGAATAATTCATGCAACTAGAGCGATTTAACTACATCAGCAACGTGGAGAACTTACCCAGTTCTAACATCCTCAAAGACATTATTAACATAACTTTCAAGTCCAAGACTATTGATCCACAGTCGAAAACACCTCTCTTCTCTTGAAATTTGAATATCATCAGTCTCCCTTTCTGCAAAAGAGATCTTTTTGCTATCTGTGCTCAGGCCATTCCTGCAAAATCACACATGTTTTTCTTACCCGATTACATAAAAATCAAAGAGCAGACTTTAGTGTTACTATCTAAATAATCTAAACTACCGACTTGTAGGCATGGAAAACAATTAAATAACACCAAAGCAGAACTGTTTAAACATCAAGTCATAGCAATTTCCCCCTACCTTTTTCACAAGAGATAATGATGGCAATACTGTGCAATAGAACAAAACCATTCATGATCTGAAGTACATGAAAATATCCGTCCACCTTGACTCCTAATTTCGTATTAACATTTTTATAATGTATACCAACATAACCTATTCCTAAAACCTTTGAGTGAAGTTAGCTCCAAATTTGATCAGAAAACAGCTCTCTAAATGCTATTAAACTCAAAAGGATTAAAAAAAAAAAGCAATTAACACAAGGCTTGTGATTTCTAACCTTTCATGGAAGATTTGGGCCACAAATGCAAGATTCAAGTTTGGTGAGCCCTCAACAATGTCTTTTGGGCTCAGATACCGTTTGCAGCCCATTCTCTCTGCATGGTCAAGAACAAGTTTAGCCCTTTCAAAGGGATCCTTTGTATCTAGGGTCAACGGATTGCAGTACTCCGGTGCCAGAATATTAAGCAGATAGGTGTAAGCTTTTGCATCCTGGTATGAGAAAACGAGTACAATATGTCAAATTACCAATGCAAAATAAAAAAAAATATAGAATAATGCAATCTTATTGGCCTTGTGACTCGATGTAAATTAACATATTCAAATACCTTCACATCTGAAGAAAAATTAGCAACAGTTTTCTCATAGCCGGCTTTATTTAAATGGAAATTCATCCATTTCAGTAGAACTTTCTCAGGAGCTAACCCCATAAGTTCCTCAACATCCTGCAAGTAACGATAATCATAAGAGAAACAATCAGATCATCTATTTAAACATGCTTATTTCGTGTTCTGTTCTTAATTAAACATCAATCACATGGTAAGGAGATATATTACTGCATTGCTATCCTCCACCAATTCCACAAGCTGAGGTGTCTTCTTAAGGTTGAGATCTGCTAACAATTGAATCTGCAGTTTCAAAGATACATGAGAAAGAGAGCACCCGAAGACAACTTGTTTTAAGTTTAAATCCTACTTTTCTCAGTCAATCAAAACAGTTTAAAGCCAACACAAGAAATTGCAAATGAATAGTAGAGATGAAATTTACATGCCTACCTTTATAATTTGTGATATCAACCCAAGTACAAGATGAGGCAGCAGTAAAAATAACATAGATGAAAACCATCGGAATATCGGAATGTTTCATCCTAACTCATTTAGTAACTGTTTAGCTGCACTAACCCTTCCTTCAACCAAGTCTTGAGTGCCAATATTTACAACAGTGCAGCCAATAGCCTTTGCAGAGTTAAGGCAAAGGGTATGGTTCTCATTCCTCTCCCATGGGTTAAGTACCCTTTTTGTGTTGATAGCTCTTTCATCTATTGTTCCAGGCACAGCAACATTTATGAGCTTACTGCACAAATATAAGAGAACAGAATCGGAACCATTTTTACCAGCTTTTATTGAAGAAATAAATAAGACATGCATAATCGAGCACACCCCATAAATGTACCATAAGAGTACTCCGTCTTTTGTGAGATTGGAAATATCATTTGTAGCTGGATCAAGCGGAAGAAACTGTTTTAAAAATGGATCGTCAGCGAGATAAATATTTATGTGTGTTGCATAAATGCCTTTTTCTGATTCACTGATTGTGTGAAGAAGAGTGGTTGTGGAGGCCTTTAGGAACGATGATGAATGCTTTGAACCACCCAGCTTTCCTGTAGCCTGACCTTGCATATTTAAATACACCTGCACATTCCATGCAACCAATCAAAATGTTAGCCTCCTTTTACTAATTCCGGTACCGGCCAAAGTTAAAACCCATCATTCCCACTCATATGCAACTTGACTGAAGCAATGGTTAAAATTTTCAACACAATACTGTGCTCTTATTAATAGTTAAATAGAAAACAAAGATAGAACATTAACATGCACAAGCTCGTATATATATGACTCACCCTGAGGAATGTCTCAAAATCAATCTCGGTGCTCATGTCGGTATAAGATTCTCCCAATATCTGCCTAACCTCATCCTCAGTAAACAAAGCACTAAAAGCCTTCAATTTCACCATCAAGGGTGGCAAATCTTCTACCGTAACTTTACCATTTTGTCTCTTTACTGAAACAAACTAGAAATCAAACAAAAAAAGGTTAAATTTCTATCGAACTACATTAAAAAATATAAACAACAATATTAAATAATAATTCAACAGCTGAACCAATAAGTTGAGGAAGGAACAAAATATGCTTACCTTGGATTTAAGGCCGTGAAGCTCGACTTGTGTGAATTGGCTCAGCAGCCATTGATCAGACACAACAACACCCACAAAACTAGACATACCGGCCGATTAGGGCAGTGATTCTCAAAATTACACCAACTGAATCCAGAAACCCAATGACCAATGCAAGACTCTATTTAGACTTAAATCTACCCAAGTAACTAAAACCTCCCAAAAAGATTCCTCAAGCCCGGAATCTGAATATCTGAGAACCAAATCAATGAAACAGGCATTAGATCCAGTGAATTCAAAACAACGACTCTTCATGAAAATATCAATATGGATTGCTTATAACTGGCATAAATAATGGAAATCCAATACATTTATCATCTAACAGATATAAACTAATAAAAATCCAAACCCAGAACTCAACTTTAGATCTAGTAAGCATAAATATCAACAAGAAGCCATCATGTAAACAACATACGTATTGCTTTCTAAGTCATAACAATAAGAAAAGAAGCACAAAGAAAACTCAAAAAGAAACGATATGACCCAACAAAGAAAACATAAAAAAACGAAGTAATCCCAGAAATACTTGCCTGTAAGAAGCAAAGATTTTCAATAAACGAATTCATTTCCCATCAAAATTTACACACACGAAACGATAAACACTTAAAGTATTAACATTTTTTTATTCATAGGATTGATTATAGAGGAAGATAAAAGGAAGAAAGGATCAATTTTTTCTTCTAAGAGGAGCAAAGTGAAAAGAGGGAGAGATGAGAATTAGCTATTACCTTAAAGACAGCATACAGAAACACAAGGCTTTGAAACAGGTTTAAACCTGTTAAGAATTGGGTTTTCCCGAGAGTATTGTCAGCCGAATGCACTCGTTTGATTGTTTGACACGTCAACAAACTTGTGTGGACACGTGTGATTGTAGGGTGTTTGGTGGATTTTGGGATTTTTTGTAGCGACCTTTCGATAAATTTATTGTAGTTACTCTTCCCAATGACTTGCTTTGCCATTTTTCAAGTTTCTTCTATTTTTTTTGTGTGCAAATTAGGTAGTGTATCCCACTCACCTATGAGTCTTGCACTCGTTGATGCTTTTCTCCATGTTTGCCTCCTGCCATAGTTTCATCAGATAATTAAGAGGTTGAAGTTAGATGTCTGCCTTTTCTATCTTTACTCTCTTCGCCTGACATCCTCTACCGTCTGCACAATAACTTAGCCTATACCTATCTTTTGCTTTCACTGAATATGAACCTCTTTTTTTTTCTTTTGTTAGATGCTAACATGTGTTTTACATAGCAGATTGTTTTGCTTACCTAGGAAAAAATGCTACAAAACAATGTATGTAATTATAGAATGCTTCTAATCAAAAAACCTTATACACGCACACATACTCACTGAGGGTTAGTAGTAATGGGCATATGACTCTGTTTTAAGGTTCCTCATAAACTATTTTCTTTTTTTCGGCATGCCACAGTGGACCTTTTGGTCATCTCAAATAACGGAGCAAGTGGAGACTATCTTGGTTGTTCTGACATGGCATATGCAAAAGCAATTCAAGATGGTGTAGATGTTCTAGACTGTCCTGTTCGAATGACAAAGGATGGAACACCTATTTGCATGGGCTATATAAATCTCATAGATGGTACAACAATTAATCAGGTTTTAGCAATCTTACAGCAACTATTCCAGAGATTATGCAGGGCAGTGGAATCTTTACCTTCAAGCTGTCATGGAGTGATATTCAAACCTTGAAACGTATGTTGATTATATTTCTAATTTGCTTTTTTCTTACTGTACTGAATTGTTTTCTTTTTCTTTTTTCCTTATGTAATGTGTGGGATGTCATCAAGATTCTAGAATAAAAACATAACATGTTGAAAATAAAAGTTGTCTAACTCGATATTGATTGAAGTTTGTACATGTCATTGACTAGGTTTGTAAGATATTTCTGAGCTTGAAACATTGTTAGCCATCTTGATTGAGCGTGTGAATAATACCATGCTTTGTGATGTAATGTGTCCTTGCATACAGTACTTATTTGAGTTTTATTTAATTTGCCCTATCATCTAAATCCGTGTTTTAGTTGCAGAGATTCAGCTGGTTTGTTGTTTCTTTGATATAATTGCCATTAGCTTGTCGTCAACCTATTTTAACTTATCATTACTTCAGCTGTAATACCAAGCCCACAATCAGAGTACAAATTGTTTCGAAATCCGAAGTTCAGAAATGCTGGGAAGTTCTTAACGTTATCTGACTTTTTAAGCATGGCAAAAAATGCTAGCTCTCTTCATGGTGTCTTAATTGGCATAGAAGTCAGTTCTTGCCATTCTATATTTTCCTCAAGTTTATTGCTTTACGATGGATGTTAAGAGATTAGGCACAGTGACTCAAATCATGAATAATGGCTATTGTTTTCTGTTGTGCTATGGTGGAACTGTTAGCGTGGTATCTTTAATTATTGTGAGAAACATATCAGATTGAATCATATTCTTGTATGGAAGCTGTGGGTTATGCCGTGTGGAATATACCGAGCTGAATGATTAAAGAAATTCTAAAACATTTAATGCCCGTCTTAATTGAATATCACTCGAGATTTGAAAACCATTCTCTTCTTTTTTTCAAAATGCTAAAAGTGCATAACTTGTAAAACTCTACACCGGTACGACACACAGTCGACCGGTTTAAAGTGCTACACAGAACCTCCGAAGTGGCTAACAAACTTTAAACTTACTTTCTCATGCTTTAAAATGATCATAAAATAAACTGAAATATAATAAAAATCTTTTCACTGAGGAGCTCCAAAACAAAATATTTACACTTCAAAAATATTACAGACCAACTTAACTGAATCTACAACTCAACTGGACAATAATGTTTATAAATATACATGCCCAAATAAAAACGCTGAGACATACATTCGATCTGCACTGAACTGGTCTGAACCTTGGTCTATCTACTGTTTTCCAATTGTTTGATCTACTAACTTGCCCACGGAAACATCCGAAGGTTGAGCTAACTAGCTCAACGCCACACTAACGACTGAAACATACTAACTGCATCACTGAAAAGCTCAAGCTATCAAGTCTACTGGTATAAGGTATACGGCTACCTGTTCTACTATTTGTTCTACTAACCCACTCCTTGAGTGTTGGACCTTGCGCCTAAGCTAGTCTGCTTTAAAACTACTTTAGTGAGTACTCACTCTCTAAGCTATGATAGGCGTCATGGTGCGGCTGAGAGTTCTGCATCTCATAGCTCACACACCCCTCTAGTCTACCCTAGATATGGCCCCCGAAATTCTCCGCATCGGAAACCATACCCCTGACTAGCCTACCATTTCTTCTAAAGAGTGTTAAGGCCTCGACAAACATAGTTAGTCAGAAGGGTCTCAGCCCTACCTAAAGATATCTGGATTGAATCTATAATGTTGAATCTGCTAGCTTTTCTAAAGGAACTCAGGTGTCCTGGTCATTTTCCCGAGCATTCAAACAATGATAGTTTTATTTCTCTCAACTTTAACTTGTTTCTACGTTTGAAAATAACATTAACGTTCTCACTTGTAGTCTTATATGAAGAATTACTAAAGTGTTGGGGTACCTCGAGTCTAAAACGCTAAAAAATTGCCCTTATTGCTTAAAACAGACTGAAAGTATCGATACTATCCCTGGAGTATCGATACTCATGCTAAAGTTTCGATACTTTTATATAAGTACTGATACTTTTAAACATTCTGTTCTGCTCAGTTTCGAAACTTTCTGAGGTGACTCTTGCCAGAAACTCACGAATCTGCCCAAAATGAAGAACAAGTATCGATATTATCCCTATAGTATTGATACTCCACCTACAGAAGTAATAAAACAAGTACTAAAAACTCTATTTCTCAATCCCAAAGACCTTAGTGAGGTCTCCAAGCATGCTTAAAGTTTTATTTGATCAACGATGGTCATAATAGAGGCTTATTAACATGCTTATAACATCAAATGAACAATCTACAATGGAAATTACTAAACATGCTTTAAACTTAACTTTCTAACACATCTTAACTTTCCATGATCTACCCTTGGTATGGGAAAGCTATAAGAGTGTTATCCTACTGCCTTAGCTGCTAAAACACCTCTTGAATCAATTAGGATTTACCGTACCTTCAAAAAAAATCCATTTTTGAAAACAAATTCTAAAACTTACAAAATGAAGCCTAAAACAAAGCTTGAAGGATGGAGAGAAACATTCTCACCTTAGCTTAGCAAACGCACACTTAGAATTCTTAGTATCTCAACTTGGAAGGAAAAAGAAATAAAGGAATTATGGAAGAAAGAAGAGAAGTATTTGGTGAGGAGATAATGAGAGTGGTTCACGTATATGATATAAAAAGAATGAGTTTTTAGCTTTTAGTTTTAACTATGGGAAAACTACATTATTAATCCCCCAACTTCTAAATCATAAAACTCTTATCACTTAACCACAATTCTCTTGGGCCTCAACTCAAGCCCACCAACACTAAACTTGGTCAAACTAATTTATAAAGTCTTTTGGGTTCAATTTTGGGTCTCAAGTTGACCTGAACTACTAACCCGAGATTCGAGGTGTTACATAACTCCTGTCTCATAATTAAGTAACTTTGTAAAATAATGTTGATAGAAACAAGAAGGCTATCTTCCAATGGCTGAAGAGAGTAATCTTCATGACCTCTTCCCTTTTACGTTTTGCAATTGTCTAAGTACATTCTTTGACATTCTGTAACTAAATCTCCAATCGTCTTTTCTCTTCCTGATGATTGAAATTTTGCCATCTCCTGCAACCCTTAGCTGCTTGAAATCTTTGTTAATGTTCATTGTCTCTGCTAGCCATGAATTATGTATATTTGCATTTCAGTTAGTTTCCTCTTTGATAACAAGAAACAAACATGTTCTTCTGAAGATTTCTGACAGTTCCGACTTGTTTATTCCTTTCAGAATGATCCTTACCTTGCAGAGCAGGGATTTGGTGTAACTGATGCAGTGCTTGATGCCTTGAGCAAAGCTGGCTACGATAAACAAACAGCTCAGAAAGTTATTATACAGTCCAGTAATAGCTCTGTTTTAATGAAGTTCAAGGGTAAAGCCAACTATCAACTTGTCTACGAGGTTGATGAAGATATTGGTGGTGCTCAAATTTCAACCATTGATGACATTAAGAGATTTGCCAGCGCGGTTGTCATTAGTAAGGACTCTGTGTTTCCCGAGAATTCGGCATTCCTTGTCGGCACTACAGATGTTTACAAAGGCTACAAGCTGCTAATCTCTCTGTACTTGTTCAAACCTTCAGTAATGAGTTTACATCTCAAGCATGAGACTTCTTCTCTGATGCAACCGTTGAGATCAATACCTTCTACAAGGGAGCCGGTATAAATGGTGTCGTTACGGATTTCCCAAAGACGTCTGATAGATACCGGAGTAAGTGCTTACCGATTGAGTTTTGCAGCATTGGACTTCCAGATTGACGTGATAATCTTTTTGTAGAGAACCGATGCTTGAGGCGAGGCAACAAAACACCCAATTACATGAATCCTGTGAAGCCCGGCGATCTTTTAGAACTAGCCACCAGCTGAAGCTCCAAAACCCTACCAGACGGAGGCAGATGTTGTTGAGCCTCCTTTGCCTCCTGTTGCTGCAAAAACCCCAACTTCAACTCCATCCGGTACCACATCAGCCCCAAGATCATCACCAAACGGACAGCCTAAACAATAATGGCCTATTGCGTATAGTTGGCCAAACTATTGTTGATTAAAGCTGTTAATTAGCTCTTGTTGTTCTTAAATTAAAATGAATATTTGAATTATCACTCTATGAACAGTCGGCAGGGTTAGGGCAAATAATAGTTGATTAAGGCATTTTCTCTCTCGGTTCCTTTATTTGTAGTTAAATCTTTATTAGTGTAATAATAATTATATATCAAATTAATTCCATATTTATGAGTACATAATCAAAAGACATAAGTTGAAGAATAAAGGGTAAAGTACACGAATGGTCCCCTGACTATAGGGTATTATTAAGTCATTTGATTATTAAAAGTTACAAAATGATCTTCTGACTATTGAATGTTGCTTTGTTAAGTCCATTGACTATTAAAAGTTACAAAATGATCACCTGACTATTCATTATGTTCCAAGTTCATCCTTTTCCGTTAAAAAATTGACAGTTGTTTAAGCTGGACATTAACACGATGACTGATATATGATAGTCGTTTGAGATTTTAGGATAAGATTTTATGATATCACAATCAACATGTTAATTTTAACTTAGAATACTATCAAAATTTTAATGAAAAATGACGAATTTGTAATATAATAAATGATCGAGTGACCATTTTGTAACTTTTAATAGTTGAGGGACTCAAACAAAAAAACACTATAATTATAGGACCGTTTTATAACTTGTAATAATCAATAGACCAAATAAAATAGTACTCTATAGTCAGGGGATCATTTTTGTACTTTATCCAAAAATAAAACAACTCAATTTCTGAATTTTCATTACTTTTATTTTACATTTTAACTTTGATAAATAACAGGAAGAAACTACCTAAACTTGTCAGACAAAAAACGTACGGTAATAAACTCAAACTAGTCTTGTCTTGAAGGAAACATATTTTTGCAGTGAAAACAAATTCATCAAAAAACATGAGCAAGAAACAGCGGACTCTTCTCAAGATCCTCTTAGCTCTCTTCGCTCTAAACTCCATCTCGCTCTACTTTTACTTCGCCTCCAGCCACCACAACCACCACCGGCCCCTGTATGACCACCGCCGCGACACGACGGCTGAGGGTTTCCCCGGAATAATCCCACACCGTGGACCTCACTTGTCAAAGCCCTGGCCGATCATCCCATCGTATCTCCCCTGGTCCTTGACCTCGAACGTAGCTCCAAAGTCATGCGAAGCTTATTTCGGAAATGGGTTTACGAAGGTAGCCGATGTTGTGTCCCCAAAGGCCGCCGTGAGATCCGGGTCGAGCTGGTTCAGGTGCCATTACTCCGAACCTTGAGGAGCTCGATTTGTGAAGGTGGGAAGATAAGGATGGATCCCGAGAAGATTAAGATGTCGCGAGGAGGTGAAAAGCTGGAGCATGTTATTGGGAGAACTGAAGAAGAAGAATTGCCGGAGTTTGAAGACGGAGCTTTCGAGGTTGAAGTTGAAGGAGGAAGATCAAGGTTAAAGAGAAAGAAGCTTGTTGGGGATGGATTTTTGGACCAGTTCTTGCCTGTTGGGAATATCTTGAAACATACCATGAGGGAATTGGTGAGGTCTATTGTTGTTGTGGTTGAAAGTGATTTCACTTGCCAAGAGGTTAGAAATAGATTATATTCCCCAAATTTCCTTTTTAATTTCCAAAGTTTTCGATGTCGGTTGATCGATCTTGATGCTTGATGAAAATTGCTATTTCTGGCTGTTAATGGAAGTTTCGGAAGTAGATTAATGCTTATGCAGATATGGGTTATAATTTAATGCATGTCTGTATGTCAAAACATATGTTTAGGCTATTATGTTTGTGTCACTAGCTTGTTTTAGCTTGATTTGTTACTTTTATTGGTCTAGTGTCCGGGGAATTTTGGATAGGCAGCACCTGCAGCAGCATTTTAATGCCGGTCGATCATACGGATTACGGTTCTTATGAAATGAATTTTGCACCTCTGGCTTGAAATCAGTTGGGTAGAAAGTGGAATATTGATCTAATTTGGAAGTAGACTAGTTGATTTGTTTGTTTTCTTTCCTTCTGGTTCATTTAGCTTGTGATTGTGAACTTAATTGTTGTTATGTAAACTGGTCATGTTCATCATTCGTTTCGACTTGATGATTGTTATGTCCTTTTTCTTTTACTTTGGATTCTAATATGGGAAGATTTGATTGCAGTGGGTAGAGGAGCCTACACTTCTGATAACAAGATTCGAGTATGCAAACCTTTTCCACACCGTGACAGATTGGTACAGTGCGTTTGTTTCCTCTAGGGTTACTGGCTTGCCGAACCGGCCGCATTTGGTCTTTGTGGACGGTCATTGTGAGGTATACATGTTCAGTATTCCGTAACCCAGTTTCTATTAATGTGACATCTCTTCACTTCAGAATATTATCGTTCTTCCGTTACCATGTGATCTGTTCATGTGGAACTGTCATCCCATCTGGTCCGAATGGAATGAAGGGAGAGTGTTTGTATATGAATGCTCAGTTATCGAATAATGAACCACGAATCGAACGTTATTACCTATTTAAACCTATCCTTCATGCAAATACCTAACTGTAACTCATACACTTTGTTGAATAGTCTGTTTGCTATGGTTGAAAATTTCTATTGCATAATAGTTGTTGCCCTGCTTTGATACTCCCTGTAGAGATCTTCCTTTTAAGTAGGTGTAATGTGTCATCTTCGACCCTCGTTTTCGCTTTGCCTGCAACGAGAAGTTGCTCTTGCGGATAATTCGAACACATGTTGCATAACTGTTTGTCTATTTAAAGCTTATTATCCTACAATAGCTGATTCATTTTCCCCATTCTTGGCTGAATATTTCCAGACACAATTAGAAGAAACATGGAAAGCATTGTTTTCAAGCCTTAGATACGCGAAAAACTTTAGTGGTCCGGTCTGTTTCCGCCAGGCTATTTTATCACCGTTGGGATATGAGACTGCGTTATTTAAAGGGCTTAGCGAAGACATAGATTGTCAAGGAGCTTCTGCACAAGAACTATGGCAAAGCCCCGATGACAGAAAAACTGCTCGATTATCTGAGTTCGGAGAAATGATCAGAGATGCTTTTGGATTTCCTGTAAACAGACATCATTCCGATAAGGCAGCCTCGGGTGATTATAACGTTCTCTTTGTCCGTCGAGAAGATTATTTAGCCCATCCACGCCATCGAGGTAAAGTTGAGTCAAGACTTAGCAATGAACAAGAAGTGTTCGATGCATTACAGAGCTGGGCATCTAATCGTCAGGAATGTAAAGTAAACCTCATCAACGGGTTGTTTGCTCACATGTCCATGAAAGAACAGGTTCGAGCCATTCAGGATGCTTCGGTTATCGTCGGTGCTCACGGTGCTGGTCTAACACACATAGTTTCAGCAACACCAAACACCGTGATTCTCGAAATCATTAGCAGCTTTTTTAGACGGCCACATTTTCAATTGATCGCACAATGGAAAGGATTGGAGTATCAGGCCATTAACCTTGACGGATCGTATGCGAATCCAGGGGTTGTTATCGATCGGCTTAACAAGATAATGAGGAGTCTTGGGTGCTAAGAAAATTCTCTCTTTTCTTTTTTCCAGATTTCGGTTTCCGGCACTTACTGAACAAACATAGAAGAGATTATCTATAGTCTTTGCAGGTGGTTGAATTCATAGCTGACCGAAAAGGACTGTGATAGAAAGGGAGATGCTGAAATCATTCGGCTTGGTGACGGAAATTCATTCGGAGACGGAAAAATTTTCCGGTCTGCGACACTGTCTTTCAATGTGACCTTGTGGGTCTGATTTCAATAATTTTCAGTTTGAATTTTAGTTTACGTATCATTCTGATTCTTGAATACAATCGTGAATTCCTTCAACTTCCATAAAATATCGATAGTCATTCACAATAAGATCGATATTAAATCGTTCCAATTTTACTGCTTTCTTTTCTTTAGACTTATTTTTTATAGAACTCACTTAATTAACGAAAAATAAACTAAAACTTCATCGTTCTAATACTATGATCTTTTTTAACAATCGTTCAATGAAACTAGTTTCGAGCTATATTAAGACAGTTCACTACTTGACATTGGAAATATGAGTTTAACCACTAATACAATGCTCTGAAAAAGGTTAAAACAGAGAGAAAAGAACATTGGATCTGAAATATGGAATCTCTTCCAAGCTCGTACCTTTAAAACCCAACCGTCAAAAGTCATGATAAATGCAGGCTGAAGATCAAGTTAAAATCTGATCTAATGGCTGACGGTGGAAAATAACAGATAAAAAATGATAATGAAGAACAACAGATAAGGAAAGTAAAGGGTCTTGCAGATTACTCTCTTCTTCCTCCAACCCTTCTTCTTGCCGCCTCTTGTGCATAGAATCACGAGAAATACCTATCGGGAAAATGTAATTGAACTCATTAACCAAGAAAATTACATGATTTAGAAGATATTAATGAAGACTGATAATTAGTGGACTTCGAGAAATACCTATTTTGGCTGAGAGAAAGCTCAAACCTTTCCGTACAGTTTTATGTGTTGAAGCAAATCTATAAATAAAATAAAGATAGGCTTTCGGAGGAAGCAATCGGCCGCAGTTTGAGTTTTTTTTATTTAAATAATTCATTCATTAGATACCAATAGCGTCAAGAAATATATTGTTGTTAATATAATCAGGTTCATCGAAATAAAATTATAAGAGATTGGTGCGTGACAATGCCCATTACACCACCGAGTGTGCAATTCGATTCGCCCTTCGGTTAGTGTATTGGACTTTGAGGTTGGGGTGACCTACAATTATAATTCGAGTCACATTTGAATACAAAGATTAAAGGCCAACGCCTCGACTGATTCAGGAGTTAGAGGTGGGGGGTCGACTTTTCGCGCCATACCTCCTATGACCATCCCGTGTAATCCCGAGCCGCTATTTTCGCTGCTGCCTCCCATGTTGATGCCGGTAAGTTCCATCAACATTAATTTTAATAGTTCCTTCAAGGTGTCACCACTAGTTCGTCTTTGGAGAATCACACGCGATAGTTTGAGTTTGATATACACATGAACCCTATTTTTTCATATTTATTTTTAGGGATACTGGTGGTGGATTCAGAAATATTTTTCAGGGTGAGCACACATACGTTAACAACATAAAATTTTTAAATAGAATGGGTATAAATAAGATTTTAGGGTGGGCATCATCCGTAAAATAAGTAACTAATCTAAGAAAACTCAGATTTCAGAGTGAGCAAGAAAAAATTTAGGGTGGACACCGTCAGTAAAATAAATAATCGAATAAAATTTTGATTTCAGGGTGGGCACCAAGCTGTGGCTCCGCCACTGGGGGTAAACTACGTATTTAGATATTCACGTACTTCTTCTAGTTTAATTTTGATCACTCAATTATTTTCTTAGATCTTACATTAGGGGTGTACAAATCTGGGTACCCGAAACATCCGGGTCGGTGATATATCGGCCCGTGTGACGACCTGGATATTGCGGGTACCCGATTTTTTCATTTTCAATTTATTAATTTAAAAAATATACACAAATTTAAATGTTCGAAACTTCGAATTACATACTTCAACATCCGAACATAAAATTTAAAAGTTTGAAATACAAAATCTAATAATCCATAATATAAATAGTTCATTATATATATATATATATATATATATATATATATATATATAATAAAACAAATAAAAACTAACCGGATACTCGGGTAACTGGGTACCCGGAAAAACTTAATTTTGTGACCCGGGCCCGACCCGGGAAATGTCAGGCCAGGTACCCGACCCGACCGAGTAATTTTTTTATAAAATTACCTGATTTTTTTAAGTTCGTGTCGACAGATCAGGTCAATCGGGTCGGGTATTTTTGCACATCCCTATCTGACATTACATTTTAGCTTTGTTTTGGTTATTCAAGGTTAAAAATTAACGATGACACTAACATGTTACCATAATATAATATCATGTCATAATCATTGAACAATTTGATACGTTCGCAGTTCTATTTATTTTTAATGATGGATGACCAAAATAAAACTAAAATGTAACATTAGGTATAATGTTGTAAAAAAAACTGAGTGATCAAAATAGAACTGTGAGAATAAATGAGTGACTAAATACATAGTTTACACTTCACGTTGTTGTCCCATTTGGTTTGGGTTTATGTTAAGAGTAGTTAGGTAAATTTAAGTATAACTAATGTAGACCAAGTGATTGGATTTGAGATGTTGATCTTTTTGAAATTTCAGAACATTTTGTCTTTTTTCGGATCGGAAACAGCTAAAGCTCCCATCTTTGCTCGACAACGGCAACCAGGGTTGCACAGAAGTCGGATTTTAATTCGATTTGGATCGGTTTTATTCGATTCGGTTTTTTTCAATAGAAAAAAAATTGATTTATAAAATAATCGGTTCGATTTTTAACCGGTTTGGAGGGCCGGCTATCCTAACCGGTGTAACCGGTTTCGGTTTTAAAAAAACTGTTTTTTTTAAAAAATCGATTTTAATATTATTAAAATTACATCGTCATCAATTGCAACAAAGTTTACGATAATTGAAATACTTAAATACTTCCAAGTTTGATAAATTCAAATACTTAAAAACTTCAAATTCGATAATTGAAACAAAATTTACGATAATTGAAATAAAGTTTAAAAATAAACTCCCAACCTATTTATACATGTTTAGGGTGGTAAAATGATAATTTTTTAAAGAAAAAAACTGTCAAAAACGGTCACAAAACTTCCCCTCAACGGCTATATTAACGGCTAATTTTTTTAAACTCAGACCAATTTTTTTTCCGGATAAAAACCGGTTTTTTAACCGGTATTTTTTCAAACCGATTTTTTATCCGGTAAAAAAATCGGTCTAGATTTTTTTTCCAAACCGGTTAAAATAACCGGTTTAAAAAAATCCAATCCGGTTAAAAAAAAACCGATTTTTCCCAAATCCGATTTAGGATATTTTTTTCGTAAAATCGGATATTCAGAGTTTTTGTGCACCCTAATGGCAACAAGTAAATCAAATTGGGATAAATTTATTCTCTCTCCAAAAATCCCTTGCGACTTGCAAATGTTTAGATAACAATTTGATTCTCCCTTTCCCCTTGTTATAATTCATAACCCACTTTCTTGAATCTACCAGTATCTGCAAAAATCTAGTCTTGGATACATTTAGCTAGTATTCGAGCTGTATCGTGAAAATCTACATATGACAGACAATTAACAATGATCAATGGCTCCCCTCCCATCAGTTGCCTGTAGGAGACTTGCCTTTATTCAGTTTTACTAATGAGTTGTAGAAAGAAGAAAAAGCTCCTTTCAGCTCCTCTGGAATTGGGAGTGAAAGAGGGAGCACTAAAGGACGAGGTCCGTTGTAGCGCCCACTCTTGTTTCCAACGGAAAATGGATGTGCCAGTGCCGGCTGCTGCTTGTTAAGCCCTTCAACGATAAACGAAAATGCCCCAAATGTGAGACAGCTCTGTAGAAGTTCCTGAGGAGCACCTGCGTAATCATTTCAAGAAAAATGCAGGCTCAAACCAGAACCTGTGTTTTACAACAATCAATTGAATCCTGAGATTCTTATACCTGGGAAACTTAGAGCCAATCCAGTGCAACATCCAGCTACACCGGCATTAATAACTGCAGAGGAAGAAAACATTAGCGAATATTAACATACCAACCACAAAGAAGGGGCGGTGTTACTCTGATTTTCACAAGGTATACCATCATCTTTTCCCCGCAACCTCTTCAAAAAGCAAACGACCAAACTGTGTACACCCGACAAAACTGCAAACGTCTATAAAGGGAAAAATATATAAGAGAAGGTAGAGATTTGTTCACTAAAAAGGGGAAGAGCTACAAGTTAATCACTTGAAATCCGAATCACTAGATACTACTCATATACCTTGGCATAAGATCCCGCCTCCACAAAGGATCCTTTAAAGCCTTTCTTTTTAAACAATCCTGAACCTGAAACAAATGCAGAGACGAATGAGAAACAAGACAATCCTATTTGAGAATGCCAAAAAGATTTGCCCAACATTCAAGCTTAAAGAATTCCAAGTCACCATTATAACACCCGCGCTTTGTTGCCTTAATTATTCAATCCATGTTACAATTCGAGATGCTGAAAATTCCATTGTCCAAACACTTTTTGACAACCGCGTCCACTCAATCACTACCCTTATTCCATAATGCACATTATTCTGATATTTTCAGGTTTGAAATCATATACAATATCGCAAAGGATCCATACAACAAAATTCCCTGAACACTAGGCTAAATCTTAACATCAAAGCTAAGACAAAAGAAATAAAGGAACTACGAGATTCAAATAAAAAAATTCCTTCATTACTGAAGCTAAGACAAGACAAAAAGCAATAGAGAGAAAAAGACCATTTCGCAAAAAAAAATATAAAAGAAGAAGGGAAATGATACCGTAGCCGAAGATGGATCCCATGAAAGCACCGGCGGCGGAGTCTCCTGCGAATTGGAAGAGACATAGGGCAGGGGAATTGGAACCGAGAGGACCGGGGATTGTGGCTTTTGAAGAATCAGGATTAGGGTTTGTTTCAATATCTTCAGAAGAAGAGCTTGAAGAATCCACAGTCGCCATTTTTACCCCCGGAAAGAAATGAAAAGGAACAAACCCTCTCTCCCTTTTGTCGCTTTAATATCTCTGCAGTTATCCCCAGATACTTACTTTTGCTTAGCACCATACGGCGTCGTTTAATTCCAGGAATAGAATTCCATGCATGACTATCGAGGGAGTTTCGTTAACGGAATTATATTTGTCATATTTAATTAAAGGAAAATATTATTATTAAGTAATAATTTATTATCAATATTAGTGGTTTTGGATTAAAATATTAGGAATGTCATTACCTCTAATTTCTTAGGTAATGAACAATTTTCATTATTTTAAACGAAAATACCTTTGAAATAATTTTTCTTCATATGAATCCCTCTCAAATTTTATTCTTCGTGTTTTACTCTAAATTATAAATTTAATAATAATAATAATAATAATATTATAAAAAGAGTTTAATTTAATGAAATATTAATAAATTTGAGTAGTTAAAATTATTTTATATTTTTAATATTTAATATATTAATTATTTTATAATTTTATGAGATGAAATATTATTATCATGAAGATTTAGATATTTAAAATAATATTTAATTTTGAGTTATTAAAAAATAGATCTTACACATTAAAAAATAATATATTTGTTTACTCGAGATCATAATATTATTTTTCTTGTTCTATTATATTTTATATAAATGAATATGATACTTATGAAAATTATTTAAAATTATAAGTTTGGTATACTAATTATATTAGTTATATGTTAAATGTATTTTTTTCTTTAAACTTGAATAGTGTAATAATTAAAATATTTTTATAAATTTTCATTCAAATATTTATAATTTAATATTAAAGTTTTATTTGTTAAAAAAATATATATTACAAGGATAATTTTGTAAAATATGCATCCAAGTAATCATATATTTCTCTAATCAAACACTGTAATCTTATATTCCTGCTAAGTAAACCAAACAAGATAATACAATATTCTCAGAGTAATGTTACTTTCCAATAATCTTATTTTCAAATTTAATATTTCATTCCGTGAACCAAACGTACCTTAAACTTCATGACATTGATAAAATTTGGTAAAGTAGACTAGAGAGGTCATTGAAGTATGCTTGAATGGTCATTTTGATAACTAAAGATTTAAAAAGTATGCAATTATCATTAAAATTTATAAAATCTTCACTACAACATTATAATAAGTATAAAAATTGATAATTTAATTGAAAATTTTATAACTTTTGATTAAAATGATAATTTTAATATAATTAAGTAAATTTTAAAATATTGTACCTTAATAAATTTAGGCCGAAATCAATTCTGTAACCCAAGAAGCATTTTGGCGAATATCAAATTCCTTCACTAAATTAAACTTTAAGTTTTATGGGGTTTTTCCCAATAGGCCATGCAACTAAAAAATTATTCCTTTAGGTAATCTCCAAAATTAAATTGGAATCTACGGTAAATGTTATAGTGCAAGGTAAACTCGTCACACTCATATGATGAATTGGCCCAAATAATATTTTTTATTTAAACTCGTCATATCAAAGTGACGAATTTCAATAAAATATAATTTTTTAATTAGATTTTTTCACGTTGGAATAACATGTTTCAATAAAAAAAATTATTGAAAATCGTCATATCCACGTAATGAATTCCAAGTCACTATAGTAAATGTCGTAGTTTCAAAAAAAAATCTGATGTCCTATTGAACTAAATAATTAGCCCGCCTTTATATTGGGTCAATTTTGCTAGTTTTGTGAGCTTAGTAATGGGTCCATGAAACCTGTGCTCACAATCATAAATTAGCCCATTTGAAAACCAACTTGTGAAACATTACTCACTCCATTCTTTTGATCAAAACATAGGGTTCCATGCCAAACTGAAGTAGCCATCAACATCAGCCACAAGTACCCGTCAACAACCAATGTGAACCAACTAAAACACCAATAATTCAACACTATTCATGAAGGGCAAGGGACTATGACTTTCAAACCAGTTTAGTACATTCACGATATCAAGATTAAAAACATTTGATCTTGCATAAGAAATTTCGTGTCTCACGCACCTATTTTTTATCCATTTAAGAGCTATGGATGTGGTAATAAGAAAGGGGCTACGGGACCCTTCTTGACATGAAGAGCATCAACCAACTTCAAAACCTTACCCTGGTCTCCCCCTCTTGTCTCCCTTGCTGTAAGGTACAGGTTAACCTATATTTTCAGCTTTTAGGTCCCAAAGCAATTTTGCACTCAAAATGAGAATAGAAACCAAATCTCACTCCCTTACAGATCACAATCTATAGCTGACTGGGATAAAAAAAATAGAAACCCTAAACTGCCACTAGGGTGGTGATATCATCCTAACCCTGAATTGGAGTGTTATATCATATGTAGAAACAGCAAGCAGAATGTTCTAAAATTTGTTTAATGAACAGTGATTTTTTTTAGTTTTCCAATATTTAATTGGAAACCCTGGGGTGCATGAGTCCTTTGACAGGGCTCGAGGGTTATAAAAAGTCAAAAGACATGGATGAGCTTAAACCACACCTTGAAAGCTATCAACAGACAACAATTCAAAGGGTTTGTAGAAAATTTCAAAGTAAACCAAGTCATTTTTTGAAGTTTATCTTTGTGATATCATTTCAGGGGTCGAGATTTGATGACATTTTAGTGAAGAAAATGCAGAGCATCTGCTGCTATATTAAATTGATGAGAATATTAAGCAATGACATCTGTAAAACATTTATGGTGGGATTACAGGCTAGCTTACAAGGGGATAACAAGGGCTATTTTTACTAATGTTTTTGTACCTATGCTAATGGAGAATATATATATATATATATACACACTTATGTATGTGCAAATGAAAAAAAGGGGAAATTTTAATATATGATAATCGTACTGAAATTGGTCTCATCTATCTCCATCACCCTAGAAGATAGAAAAGAGAAAGGAAACAAAAAAGAAGGAAGAAAACGCCATTTCTATCCCCATCATGGGACGCTTTTTTATGTAAAAGGCAAAAAGGGGGTGTTTGGTTAGAGGGTTTGTTAGGCCATCTTCTTAAAACCTTAATTCTCGAATTCAAAAAAAACCTAAAACCTAATATTTTTTTAAAAGATACTTTAATTTAATTTGGTTTTTTTATATTTTTTTTGCAAATAAAAAATGTTTTCTTAAATAATTCAAACCTAATTGTTCCCGCTTGGAAGAATATTTGCTTATTAGATTTAGATTTTTTTTGTTGCACTTCAGTTCTAAAGTTTTGTTTTAATTAATCTGGATCAATTCGGGTCACATATCTTGTTTTATCGGGTGAGTCTCCTAGTAAGATTTTTTTCATATACAATGACTCGAACCTAATATCTTACTTAAGTGATACTAAACTGTTTAACACTTAAATCAACTCGTTAATCTAAAAGTATTTTTTTCAAAGGGATAATTAAGGGGCATTGAAAATAGTACCCTTTTGAAGTCATTGGAAAAAGGAATAACAAAATGACCCCACCATATTAAAATTGCCTACTGATTTTCTACCCATCTTGGGTTTGCAATATGGATTTTAGTTTGAATAATACAGCACAAGACTTAGGGGTTGGACTTGAGAAGAGCATATATATAATCAGTTGATTTAATAAGGCGATCTACTAATTGATCAAAACTTTAGATTTTAATATTAAAAATTAAATAAGTTGAATAAAAAATATTCTTATACTCGTATTTTATAATATTTTATTTAAATTAATTTATGTATATATATGGAGTGGGATTGGGTTCTATTATTTGAATACTTGGGTTGGATTCAAATGTTTTTGTTATATATTCCTTAAAGAAAGCTAATATCCACCTAATAATTGACCCTTTCTAGACACAAATTTGATAAATAAGATGTATTTTTATTTCTAATCACCCAAAAATTAAAATAAACGACCATAAATCTATTAAAATTTAGTTTTATTCAATTTATTTTATTTATCCATGAACTAAATTGATCCATTCGATATTAGACGAATAAATTTAATACTTTCATCAAATACATTGTACTAAGTGAAAAAAAATTAGTTCATAATATTTTTAATTATTTTCGAAGCACATAAACCATACAAACTTAATTGTTCAAATTTTTATTATTTAGAGAGAATGACATTCTCTTTTATCATTTATGACTTTTATTGAGTTCATATGATATGCATTTTGATTTGGTGTTTAACAACAATGATTTACATGAATCAAACGTTCTTCATGGTTAAGGATGATTGTTATTCATATAGGTCTCGAGTTTGAACATGATGTTTATTATCAAATGGTTTAAAATCTTTCGAACATATATTATATTTTGATCATCTCAGACTAATAAAATAATAATAATGATTTTTAAATGAACATGTATGTAACATCCTCCATGCCGGGTTAGTGATTAATTTGCAAAGTTTCAACATTTGGTGATTTAAGTAAAATGATGGAAGAGTGTAATGATCTAATTGAGTTATTTGGTGTAGGATTGAATTATAAAGAAGGGGAATTAAGAGGGTAAAAGAGTAATTGAGTAAATGAAATAATTAAATATTCCTTGGGGATTATATTAGAACCCACGTGGGCATTAGGTTTCCAGAATCCTCTCATTTCTTCTTCCTTCTTTCTTATCTTCTTCTCTTCCTTCTCCAAACGTGGAGCTTGCAAGTAAAGGTAAGAAGTTGAACCTTGGTAGTTTCTTTGATTTTTAAGATTTGAAATGAAAGTTTGGATGTTATATAAGCTAAAGGAAAGCTTATATGACATTAAAACAACAAGATAAGTGTTTTAGAGATAGATTTGGAAAATGAGTTTTTAGATGAAATTTTGATATGGATGAGTTTTTGATGTTTGAATAAGTTTTTTGACTTGTCAATAAGCTAATTAAGAAGTATGAAGTAATAGAATTGAAATTGGAACAAGTTGGAATTTGAGTAAGATTCTTCAATTCTATATGGATGAGTAGTTTTCTTAGTTTTAGAGGTATTGAATGGATAATAATTAGTTTAAGTAAGTGTATGAGAGCTAAGAGTATTAAAGGGATT